CTGAAAGACGGCCGTTTCGTCATGGTATGGGACTCATCAACGGCAGTGCGCATCCACGACACCTGCAACTCACAGGATTCGAACCCGGGACCTTCTGTATTGTGCGCGAACGCCTAACCATTGGACCACTGGGCCGGCATCCAACTGTGTTAATGTCTAACTCTGACTGATCTAGGGATTTTGCGCAACCTCACCCATTCATTATCTTATGTTTGAAGTTTGTAAGTAGTGTGTAACTATATATATAAGAGGAATAAAAAATGTCCTGTCCGAATTGATTATTTTCACGTTAATGATAATTATTTATGAATGAGTAAGATAGTACACACTGAAAAGATACTAAACTGACGCATCTAATCATACATTTACATGCATGAACTTGCATACATACGCATGTGTGAGACCCGCATTGATGACTAAGCTAAATGTACTTATTATTATTATTATTATTATTAATGATATGACGAATAAGGAAATGGACTCGACATTGATACAGTTAGTTTACCCCACCTTAAATAAATTTATTGAAGCAAATGGGATTGCAAATTTTAAACTCCGTTTTTAATTGCTTGACAAAATTACTGGAATATCTATTTGTATGCTTTATAATCTTTCTAATTTTTCCGGAAATAAGTAATCATTTTTATTAAATGAAGAAATTATTTCTCACTATTACGCTTCAATAGGTTAATTATCTTCTCTGCTGCATCTTTTAATATTAGTAAGTAATCAAGAAAGAATTGGTATAAAACACGCAAAAAAAAAATAGAAAATATGAAAGAGTAAAATAATTATGAATATCCTTTCAAGATAAATACATTTTCTTTAGCCTACTAGAAAAAACTTTGCAACAATACACACCCATTGTGGTCTCGAAACCGATTATAACAGAAAACTATTTATTTTTCTCAAAATTAATTGTTTATCTGACGTAGAGTAGTTAACGTTCCATTATTATTACACTAGTAATTATCTCCAGGTTAACTATTTTATTGAGTTATACATAATGTAACGAATGTGTACCTAATCATTCATTTCATTGAACTGAACTTAAATAGATTCATGTGTACTGTACTGAATATCACATCTAAATTGATTTACGAAGTTTTGTCCATTAAAGTCAGTTGCACAAACACAGTCATCTGACAAAAACATCATCTAAATGTATCCTAACGATAACTGGAAGTATCAAAAGATCATAGCGATGTTTTTAAGCATATATAAGTATATTGGATTCCTTCTTAAGTCATAGACAAAGCATATATACATATATATACATATACATATACAAATAAGTGACGGTATGTTTAGGTCGTCTCTTGCTATGCTTGAAACTGTTACCGGTTCACCTTAGTCGATAAACTTGAACGAGACTATGAATCGTGTCCGGGTAGGCTAACGGAGAAATCTTGATATAGCGTAGAAAGTATATTCTACAAACACTCAACAAGCACAATGATCTCAAACACACAAATCACGTTTATTTATATATCACAGAAACGTCCTTGGGAGATTCACAAAAATAGCACACTAAAATAACACAGTAACCAATCACAGCCAAAGCTTATCCTGGTGGGTCAACTGTTCAGCCCATGAATAAAATCCAAAATAAAGACATTTATCAAGCGAGTCCCGGGGATCTAACATCCCCAACACGGTAACACAGCAATTGCTATTCATATATAACATTGGAACTTACTACTATTTCTGTGATGTAAAAGTGATGGACATTTCATTTGTATGCCATAGTGAAATATCTGTTGGTTTACTGAACATTTCTCTTCATACTTCAGAAGAGAGTCATATCAAACTAATAAATAGTCCCATTTTATTATAAATTGTCAATTATGGATGTCTGATAGCAAAGTTAAAATAATTAGGGTTTTTCATCTTATTATTGTATTAGTTTTTCCGCTAGTTATTTTAGAAATACCGTAAACGATGTAGATTTGAATTTAACAACTAAAATCTTTATAGAAATTTAATTTCACAATATTCACTATTTTATTTATAGTCAAGTACATTTTAGTAAAAAAAAATACAATGGTTAACTTACTTTTCGTTAGTTTTTTTTCTTAAATCTTAAATAAATTCTACTATACTGTTTGAATTTTCGAATTGATGACTAAAAACTGATGTAAGTTTTAGCTTTCGTTTATCCGGACACTTAAAACTAGAATTTAAATAACTGAAAGCCATAGAAACTTGATTTTTCAAAATGTACGAATAAATTAAACACGTGTTATCCTCTGGAAAATTATAAAACCAAACTCAAATAAACATTAATAACAGCCTATTTCAATATAAATGTGTGTAGCTCTGAATAGCCTTCGATGCTATGTAATGCAAATTAATCTATTGACAGCATTCACAATGTTTGAATTTCATTTGATTAAATCACACCAAAATGAGGTTCATAAAAAGTAATTGATTTTAAATAAAATAAATAAATATCTTATCTTTTTTGATGCAATAATTAATTTATTATTTGTCGCATTAGAATGTGAATATCTTTCACTCAAGCCTTAAGCCAATTCTAGCTCAGTCTGGTTTACATAAGAGATGCTTATTATGAAGATGACCTAGTCGGCTTCTAAACAAAATCGATTTTTTCGGGATTTTAGAAGAGAATTTATCATTACAGTTCGTAATATATTTTCAGTTGAAACATTCAACTTTCATTCTACATCATTACCTACATAGGAAACACAAAACTTCCTTTTCTCTTTCCTTTTGCATTTAACGAAAAGTTTACTTCAGGTGTTCAATGAAACCGTTAAGATTTATGTAAACCAAAATCTTCATGTACTATTTGAGTAAAAATGAAAGTAACCGTGCAGTTTTCCCCATGCTTAAAATACAACAGAAACTGAAGAAAAATTGTTTTCTTATAAACTGGACTCAGCTGTACCAAAAATGTTAGTAAACGTTTTTTAGAAGTTTTTGATTCGAAAACCAATTGACTGAATGTAGTAAAAACTAATGCGAAGATTTTTGGGATGTGTTTCTCTTCATGTAATTACTAAACAGTGATTTAGAAAATAGCTGTTTAATCATTTAGCATGACTATAGGGAAAGCGGAATAGCCCTACTCGCTAAATATTCCAGCTATGTTTTAAGTATCATTAGCCGGGATGTATTTGTTCATGATAAATTCTCGAAAGTATCTGTCACTCTACTCGAAGGAGACCGTGCAACTCATTAATCGTTACTATTTCACCATATGGCTACATAATGTCGAACATAAAATTAAAGGATATCACTAGGTTACCAAGTTTTAAACCATTCATGTATTCAAAACACCGGTTGTACATGATGGAGTTGTCGATTGAACCATTCTAAAGTTAGACTAAGTATACTAAGCAAAGATGACTAATCGTTCAGTGAAACTGTGAATCTTGATTGATTTGTGGTGGCTGAGGCACGGCTACACACAGTGTTCGCAATAATAATAGTATGTATGGACAAATCATTGCATGGAATCAGTCAGCGACGTTATTGAATTATTTTCCAAGGCCATGACCGTCGATTTTTAGCTGCCTCTCGTGAAATACTAGAAATTAATGGTTAATCACATTAGGTGACATAAAACAATCAAGTTGCATTCATTCCTTTCCTTAATCTTAAAACAACCATCATTCCTAATACGTTACTCTTTTTGGATGTGAAATTTACTTTTTATGTTTAGATTTCGGTAAGAGTGGAAATGAATCGTTACCCTTTGATTCCAATTTTATTAGCTTATTCTCATGTTTAATTGATGTAAAGTTTGATAACTTAAGCTGGTGATCATTAGTGCCACGTTTCATGTCAGTGATGGTCGAGTTAGTTCTGCCTAAATGCAGTCATCATTATGAATTAAGATTAAAAAAAACACTGCTTCTTGCTTGACAAACAACCACACAACACTAATAGTTTTTTGATGATTCTCGTTATGATTGATTAAATGTGAAAAGCCCATGTGTCTGATGTTCGAACTTGAACTATAGACTTGAAAACGTAGAGCTTAGAAAGGCTTCCAAACTGATTTTAGGAAATTAAGTGTCATCGTTTTCAAAATTACAAATTAAACTAAAATATATGCCTACTGATTGATATCTGGGTTATAGTAGTACCTCAAATCTTGCCAATCTATTGAAACTGATTGACAATTTCGGTAATACTTTGTTATCAGTATTTGATTCGGCAGTGTGCTCTTGATTTTCGAATAACTCTTTAAGAAATTATCTCATATTTCATAGAAGTATTCCTATAATAACGAGTAATCAAATCTAGAGACTTTAGAGACGTTGTGCACTGTTTGTTTACTAAACACAAGACATATTGTACTAAAATTTCTGATGTTATCTAGGAGTTATTGAACAAATTAGTCTGTCTGACTGGTATCTAATCTTAGCATACATCACAATGCAGGATACGATTAGCATAATCGAAAATGAAAAGTACACATTTTTTTAATCAATATAGTCTACTCAATAATTCAAATTATGTTATCTGTACACTTTGAAAAACTAAAAATGATGCACATTGAAAGGAAGAAAGGGAGAGAGAGAGAGAGAGTACATGTATATGAAGAATTTTAAAGATGAAATAAAATATTATATTCAGATAAATGGGGATACTTTATCATTAGATTGTTTTTTCTCACGTCAGTTATGCATGTACTTGTTATCGAAATGATTAGTTTTTAATTCTTTAATTCGTTTAATTACAAATACCGATTGATATTCTCGACCATTTGAAATACATATTTTAAATATACAATCTTTTAAAATAAAAGGTAAATTAAAATTAGGTGTTTTTTTTGTCAGAAGAAAATTGAACTGTCTTGTCAAGTTGATGAAAGAACATGTGATTGTTTTTTTTTTGCTACTACGTTTTATATGGGCAAATGTTACTTTTAATCATTTTTGATTATAAAAAAATGTCACTTGAATAAAACGATCTTGTTTGTTTGCACAAGCAAGTACTTGTTGTGCACATGATACAGTCGTAGTTTGAGAAGTAATAGCAAATAATCACTTATCCATCAGCCAATTGATCCATCCAATTAGGACTTTTGAAAAACTCTGGAACTGGTTGATCCATTCTAGCTATAACTTTATAAATTGGCTTCTTCCATGATTGTTCTGAATCTTTACCAGTGTAAAGTGCATTGAAAAATTCACGTAATGTCGCTTCAACCACAATACGGAAGTGATCAGGTACCTATTATGCAATAAAATAATAATGTTATTATTAGTGAAGACTAGAATTTTCAGAATTTGAATCGCGAATCGACCTTAGTTAAATAACCAGTAGAGTTCAGTGTGGGACAGTTATCGACCACAGGCAATAGATAAGAGTTGCTCAATATCATGAACTGGTTGAAATAAGACATTGAAACCAATTAGATACTCACGAGACAGAAGGTGCTGATTTCGATTCCTGACTGTAAGTTGGTGGATATGTATTGTCAACAAGTCTTATACTAGGATGAAGCAGTTGTACAGTGCTTCTACATTTTCATTGGTTCTGTAGCTAGGATCGTTTCCTGATTTAAGCTTTTTTTAAGTAGTTAAGATCGATAAAACATTGGTATCAGTATGTATATGTTCACTGATGTGTGCTTACAAATGTGCATTATAAAATTAAATAGTTGCATTAAAACTAAGAGTAACTCAACAGCTATAAAAGATTGTTCTATAAATCTGTCGATTACATCTCATATGTAAGAGGATTATTTGCATTATCTGAACCTGGTAGCATTCTAGGACTGATCAAATTGAGTTACAAGCTCATGTTAAACGAACAATATTTCAGAGACTATAATATAATACAATATTGACTAAAAGATACTGCTTTGATAATAAGGTAGAAATATATGTGATATCATTAAATCTTAAACTGTTAATCGTCTTATCATATATATTTGCCTACTCCTTGCGTTTTATTCACATGAGATTTTCAAATTCTGCCAAGTAGAAAGTCTTAATCTACGTTTCCTCTCATTAAAATTGTAGTTTGATCAATAATTTGGGAGAGATAAAATATGATGCAAAACTTATCAGTTCATGCTGAATAAGATGAATGTGCCGTAAGGAATCATGAGAACATGTAAATAATGACTGTTATGTCATGTTTTCCTAATGAACATATATTTATTATTTAAGAAATGACGTTATATTTCACATAGGTAGGAAATAAACCAGTTTTATTTACCTTGGTACTAAGGTATGATTAACTTATTGGAACCGATCGGTTATATTATTTATACGTTCTTGAGCTGCCTCTGTACAAATCAATATATTGTCATTAATATAATCAATGGTTCTGATCAAGTTTAATTTATAAACTTATCATTTCCAAAGCTGTTGGTGGGGGTAATATAACACAATTTATTCAAGTCAATAACTTCTATTCGATTTCTAATCCGTTTCATTGACTAATTGCCATTGAAAAATGCATTCCAACATGCGTGAATAATTTGAAGGTGAGTGACAACTAACTGTATGAATTAACAGACTTACAAGCATTTCTAAAGCATCAGATTTAAAAAAATTTCCCTGTAAACACAATCAGTAATGTAAAATAAATACAAGCATTAAAAAAACATTGTATAATTCCACTTACCTCTAATTGTTGATTACGATTATAGTGTAAATTTAAAGCTCTATAGATTTCAGATTCAATGGTTACATGAATTTCATCGGCCATACGTATTCCTTCAGAGATTGCAACTCGTGCATACTTCTCCATTTGAATGTAATAAAATTCCCTTTGATTAAAACAACATTCGCAAATAAATAAATAAATAAAATAAACTGAACTGAATTGTTTTAAGTTAATAATTTTTTGAACTATATTGATTATAATCTCATTAGTAGTTACTTTTAAATTAATCTAGATAAAAAGTAAAATTACGATTTGCAGGAAAATTCTAATTGTTTTTACCAATATTCGAGCTATTTTTAAAATATGTTGATCGACTCAACTATTTACTAAGTAAATTAGTTAAGTTCGATAAACTAGAAAGAGTTTACAGAACTTGGAAAAAAAAATGCAATCAACTGTTTTATGCACATGTTTTTTCGCTTAAAAGCATTCTTAACTTCATGAAGATCCGATCATTGTCATATTGTCAACGAAACATGTGAATTATTAAAAGTACGGTTTAATTATTGAAATTATGTGGGAGTAAATTTACACTTTTACTAGTTAAGTTTTTTGCACAGTTACATTTGATTCATTCAAAGTGAAGACCGGTGTCAGGCAAGGTTGCTTACCCCCACCCTTTCTCTTTCTCCTGGTCATCGACTGAATTATGAAGATGGCAACATCTGGAGGGAAGCACGGTATTCAGTGGACAGCTAGGACATAGCTGGACGGTCTGGACTTGGCAGATGACTTGGCTGTTCTATCGCATACGCAACAACAAATGCAAGAAAAGACGACCAGTGTAGCAGCAGCCTCTGCAGCAGTAGGTCTCAACATACATAAGGGGAAAAGCAAATTTCTCCGATGCAACACAACACGCACCAACCAAATCATTCTTGATGGAGATGCCTTGGAGGACGTTAACACCTTCACATATCTGGTCAGCATCATCGACGAGAAAGGTGGACCCGATGCAGATGTGAGGGCGCGGATCGGCAAAGCAAGAGCTGCATTTCTACAGTTGAAAAATATCTGGAACTCCAAACAAATATCAATCAACAACAAAATCAGGATTTTCAATACAAATGTCAAGACAGTTCTACTGTATGGAGCGGAAACTTGGAGAACTACGAAAACTATTGTCCAGAAGATACAAGTGTTTATTAACAGTTGTCTACGCAAAATACTTCGTATTCGTTGGACAGACACTATTAGCAGCAACGTACTTTGGGAGAAAACGAACCAGATTTCAGTGGAGGAGGAAATGAGGAAGAAGCGGTGGAAGTGGATAGGACACACATTGCGAAAGCACCTAACTGCGTCACGAGACAAGCCCTCACATAGAACCTTCAAGGTGAAAGGAAAAGAGGAAGGCCAAGGAACACATTATGCTGAGAAATAGAGAAAGATATGAGAGGAATGAACAAACATTGGACAGAACTGGAAAGGGAAGCCCAGGACAGGGTTAGTTAGAGAAAACTGGTGGGCAACCTACGCTCCATTGGGGTTAATAGGCGTAAGTAAGTAAGTAAGTAAGTAAGTAAGTAAGTAAGTAAGTAAGTAAGTAAGTAAGTAAGTAAGTAAGTAAGTAAGTAAGTAAGTAAGTAAGTAAGTAAGTAAGTAAGTAAGTAAGTAAGTAAGTAAGTAAGTAAGTAAGTAAGTAAGTAAGTAAGTAAGTAAGTAAGTAAGTAAGTAAGTAAGTAAGTAAGTAAGTAAGTAAGTAAGTAAGTAAGTAAGTAAGTAAGTAAGTAAGTAAGTAAGTAAGTAAGTAAGTAAGTAAGTAAGTAAGTAAGTAAGTAAGTAAGTAAGTAAGTAAGTAAGTAACGTTTGATTCATAGAAATTCTTTACTGTTTATATGTTTTCATAGAAGCTAACCTAACCCACTTCTAAACACCTAATACATATAATGTTTACTGTTTAAGGAAGGCCATTCATTTCTTTTTCCACTGATACGTAAAATCATTAATCGGTATACTTTATTTCTAGATTAATTCATTTGATTTATAAATGAAAATTTGAAGAAACTTGAAAAATTCAATTTTGTAAGTAAACTTATTTTCCAGTTCAACCATAGTATATTTGTTCAATCTCCAGTCTTAACTGTTTGAGGAAAATTCTACCAAAAAATTAATGCATTTAATACTCAAAGAATAATCATATTCTCAACCTCATTGAATTCAATAAGCGATTGTATTTTTTTATGTATATCATCTCCTCAAACCCTTCAAAAATACAAATAAGATGAATGAATACAATTTCACCAAGTAGTACGATAATTTTTTTCTTAAGAAAGAAATCAAAAGGTCGGATAAATCAGAAGTAGAAGTAGAAGAACAGTGATAGAATCAATAAAATGGTTGGAAAGAAAATAGGTGTGTAGGTTGTGAGAAAGCCATAAAATAAAAATTCTCACAAAAAAAGAAAAAATTACATTATCATCATCATTCTACTTACAAGTGAACGTCATAAAATTCATTGGATGTGAGTGAGAATTAGTTCTTTCAGGATTCCATTGATTTTTTTTAGTAAAAAATTAGATTTTATTCTCTGCCATGTCATATTTTCTTACTTGTTTTTTTTTCCACCTCTAATATCAGTATCAATTAAACATGAGCGTAAATTATTATTATCAGTTTTGTAAAAGGAATAAAATACTTAATGGATAATTCGTTTTGTATTATTTGTGTATCTAATGATTTGAGCTACTTTTCATTGAACGATACAGGCTGAGGAAGGCTGTTCTTATGAAAAGCATTAAACTAATCCGTTTTTTTGTTGTTTTTGATATTTTGACTGAACATTGAAGAATGCATTACTTATCATCAAAGTCTTTTTGCTTTTAAGTTCTATGGGTGAGAAAATTTAACGGATCCGAATCAAAATCCATTAATCTGTAGTTTGATTTTAATGTTGTTTATACTGTAGTGAAGGAGAACACAGGTGAGGGCAACCGAATTGCATTTAACGAAAATTACAGAGTTACTCAGTAAAATAGGAAAACCATATCGTAAACGGTTAATTTGCATATCTTCAATCCATCATCAATCCATTGTCTGAAATTGCACTAGTCATGCGTTTCACACAAATTCCATTGTTCTCCCACTCTTCCTTTCTTGATCTTCCCCCATCTTCTGCAGCCAGACATTACGTTTACACTCACGTCATATACTACTTATAAGTAGCGCGCACCACAATACGACTAACTCACTGAAATCTACCTGGATTTCTTTCTCCTTAAAAACTGATGAAGCTCTTGTCGAGCAAGAGATGAAATTCAAAATAAGTACTTCTAATTGTTTTGTTTGTTATTATGATCTTAAACTGTAATTTGATTTTAAAATTATCACTACAATTATTTGACACCCGATCATTTAATGTTATTGTTCACATTATATAATTTAATATTATTACCTATATATTACATCATGTTTATTTACTGTCCTTATTTAAACTAATACTTAAAAATCTCGTATATATATAATTGTACAGCTAGATAATAAAATCGTTGAAAAGCGATCAATTTGTACGAACTTCGTGCTTTCATGATCCGTTAATTTGATCCAGTTCAACTGACACACGATCGTTTTCACCTCTTCTTCAAATTAGGACTTCTACGTGTGATAATAGGTTATTTGTTGCTATTGACTGACAAACTCAGTTAGGGAAGTTTTAATAAGTTACACCATGTATCAAGTAGTTGATTCCAACCTAATAGCTGGAAGTTATCATGATCTCTTCGAGCAATCTACGAGTCCAGTGAGCGATTCCGTACAAAGGCATTGATGTACGTTGTTAAAATAAATTATTTTCAGGAAGAGTTTTGGAGGTTTGTGCTTTTTTTACACATTTGAAATCATCAGTCAGTCGCTGTTAGACCACCATTAGAAACCTAGAAGCACTGAAAGACGGCCGTTTCGTCATGGTATGGGACTCATCAGTGGCAATGCGCATCCACGACTCCTGCACCTTACAGGATTCGAACCCGGGACCTTCTGTATTGTACGCGATCGCCTAACCATTGGACCACTGGGCCGGCATCCAACGGTGTTGATGTCTAACTCTGATTGGTCTACGGATAAAATAAATTAGCCTGCAAGAAAAAAAGTATCAACAGTTTTCGGTTTCACAGCAAAACAAGTGTTCTTTGATTTAAACTATGATAAGATTGAAAGATAATTGAAACAAATGATTAACTTAAGCAAATATTCCCTCATCCAATAAGTTAATCTACAAACTGGTTAACGCAACAGACTCACTAATCATACTCGTCAACAAGCTCTATTTCCTAGGCACGTGACCACCATAAACATACATAGTTTTTATTCTGACCTTTTGATAGATTTCCATTCCATTTTTTTTAACTAACAAACAAACAAACAAGTGAATAGGTAATTCATTCAATCTTTCTTCATTTCTTATCTAAATGGTTCATCTTCATCAGCTCATGCATTTATTTATTTATTTATTCAACTAAAAATTCGAGGTTAACTGATAAAATGAGATTCATATCCATATCACTTTTCATAGTCCCAACCACTCACCAACCTATGCCCACCTTAGTAATGAACTCTCTCTCTCTCTATTCAGATAATAATACAATTAAGTAGAATTGGTCGATTCAAGTAATCAACAATTTTTTTCTTACTCTCTCTCTCTCTCTGTGTACAATCTGTTCTTAAACAGATTTTTCCTTTTTCTTTTGTAATGGAGAAAGCAATGTACAATTAGAATTATATTGTTACAAATTATTGAATCAAATATATATATATATATATATATATATATATATAATTTCTACATAAATCTTTCTAGACATGATATCTCTGTATAATTTTATTTATCTATTCAATCAGTAATGTGTAATGTGTATTGTTAAAAATTTCAAGATGAACTAGGAAAGATTTTAATCTTAACTTATGTTGTGAATTTTATTTTATGTTGAAGGTTGAGTTCAAGTATTTTACTTATTAGTATGTATGTATACTTGTGCATATGTTTGCATATGATTGTGGTTTTTTAATGTAACCGAGATATGCTACTTACTGATTGTTTTAAAAAAAAAAGTTTTTATGTTAATTAAGAAATCATAGTTTTTTAGTAGAATAAAATTGATATTAGAA